GTGAAAATGTAACTTGAAACGTTTTTCTAAGTGCACTCTTCCGAAAATGATCGACAGGCAAAAAAAATTAGTACTCTTGCAGTTTCTGCACCTTTGCGCTCAATTTTTAATGTACAAGAATCAGCTAGCATGAACTAGCATATGCAAATCACTTCGGCGCCAAACTTCCTGTGCTGTGATTGACTGATCTCATGCGACACGCTTGTCGCAGTCGCAGAAAGTTGAAGTTGGCTCAACTCTGTACGACAAAGGTTCTTGCGACTGCGACAACCTTACAACCGGAAACAGTGTTCGTACGACATTCTCATACGACATACGACACGATCTGTGCGACTATTGTAGACGAGGCTTTACAGAAACTGTCTCAAACTATGTCTGAAAATATGACACTTTTAATTAAAGAGAATTTATAATACTCTTTTTTTACTTATCACATTTATATTTATGCACAACTATCTACAATAAAACTGCACAATATTAACCTTGTCCCAAATATAAACTCCATAAACTGTTGAAAATCCTTCGATAAACCAAGAATCCGATTGATTAAATGTAGCTACCCACTCACTGAACATTTCTTGTATCACATTTCTTGCTATGAAACATGTTACTTCTTTTTGTTTAATAATTGAATCTACTTCGCTGTTATATATACTGTTAACTTCACTGTAAATAACAAGAAAAATGGTATTGCTAGTATAGCTTTCCTGTACGTTTTACAGTTATTTATACGTTCAATTTTGTATCGTGAGTTATGCATCTCACCTCAAAAAAACAAATCCAGGAGTTATCATACTTTCGTAACGATTAGAGGTTAAAGGCAGTAGCACGTAATAAACATGCGACCGTGGTATGATATCATTCCACATGTTTCTGAGACTTATGAAGATATTAATAAGAAAAGTTCGTGCATAGTATGTGTCATTTCTCATTTCTAAGCTGCTTCTAATGGTAACGTTATTTCCTGATATCGTAGTTGTGTTATATACATTCGGTATAACAACAAATGCAACCAAATGCGTAGATATTAGAGGTGTGGTGAAAAATGTTGTTTTGAACGCGTTTATTACCGGACCCCAATATTCAGTAGGCATGTTCGAAAGAGCTGTATCACTGTGTTTGTGTATAATTTGAATGGTAAATCTAGCCTTAGATGCTGGATGTTCCCAATATGGAAAAATCCATTCATTTGGAATACGCGATAAGAGCAGGAATCTACATAAAGAAAATAAAATATTATCGCGATACATAAGTACAGTATATAATAAATATTACGTTACATAAAGTGCTGATTTAGTAGTAACCCTTTCTTAATCATATTTAAAGAGAAAAATGTAGAGCTACTAAAATAAAAGTCTATTTTGAAAAAAAGACGAGTTTCATAAAAATATTTAGTTTTTAAATGTATTATAACATGACTTTATAAATTTAGTAAATGTAACCGTCACTATTTAACATAGTAGTATTATGTCATGTAACTTAAAAAACTGTATGTAGCAATATTTAAAAGGAAAAATATCTGTCAAATAATATTTTGATACTGTTTTGTAGTAATAACTTTTGTCTATAATTGTCATTGTAGTAAAATAATTGCAGAAGTATAAATCTAACAGTATGTAATATAATAGCTTTGTATGTACACTTACTCTTTCGTTTCAGTTTGACTTATGTACGGGTCAACCGTGACAACCTCCGTTAAATTACATTTATACATCGAAGTTATCACATATTTTCCAGATCTTACNGGTTTTTCCAGTTGTTTAAGTATAAACACGTTTGGAGGAATTTTGTTTTCTTTTATGGGATTAATATCCACATTTTTGAATCGATTTTTGATAGTAGTTACCTCTGATACAGTAACTTCCCAATGTGATATATAGTCATACAGAATTTCAGTTTCAACATACACATTTTGTATATAACAATACCGTCCGATTTGTAATCGTATGTCTTTTTGTTCACATGACACGTTTAGCACAACCGTAGAATTAATGGTAAGAGAAGTGTTTTGTTTTTCTAAAGAAATTGTATAATTTATCGGTTGTATACACTGCGATGTCCGAGATAACTTCTGGTCAGTGGAAGAAGCAACTCCAGTGACAAATATTAAGGTTATTGCTCCTAAGAATATAAGCATCTGCGTAATGCGTATCTACAAAATTATTTTGCTTGTTAAACAAAAAATACAGATACACATTAAAACGAAACTCTTACGCAAACATTTATTATAGAAGAACAGACCTTTGCAGTATCAAAAACTAAAACAGTATTTATTACTGTGTACTAGAAAAGAAGAGAATATAAATATGTTTATATCAAGAAACTCTTACTTCTATCACACATACACATCACAATATTTATCACAATTGTGGTGTTTCAATCCGACATACAAAATGACGATTTGGAAAACAACGTTTAAGGAACAAATATAGAAAGATTAATTATATACTACACAATTTTCACAAAAGTGATTTGAATTTGATAGTAAGTCAACAAACAAAATGAAGAAGCTGTGATTGAAAAAACCGAGAAAAACTGTGTATTATACATCAAACAAAACATTTTTAAGAAATCGGATAAATATTGTATGTAGTATTCATTTTAAAGAGAATAAAGCGTACTAGTTTACTGATTGCTTCCATGCTTCTATATCACCCAAACAATATAATGCGTTTGTGAGATATTAGTAAATCTATGATTTTTTATATTTAACTGACCGAGATATATATATATATATATTCGCATACGATTAGAGACACAGAAAGAAATGATACTTTACAACAATAGCACTTTTCCAACTAACGATATAAAATGAAAATAATTTACCATCTTTTGTATAATGAAAGTCAATGCATTAAAACATAAATCTCGTATGAATATTATTGCGAACTACTAGTACACAAAATTGAAAACGTATTGCGCGATCTTCACTCTTCGAGAATTCCTCGACAACTAAGACCCGATCGTTCCTGACGACTAATATCTACGTGTCACGATATAAACATCTCTGTTGGGAAATACGACCTTATTTTGTTCTCTTCTACCTACATAAATAATGATAGAAATAACGGTTTTAAATGTATTTTACGGTTTAAACGTACAAGTTCATATAATAAAATATACTTTAACATATACAGAACTTGTTTTATTTCATCCTACGTGCAAAAAAAAACAGGCCCTTGAGAAAACATTCATAGGTGATCGTGTGTAAAAACTGGAGTTCTTTGATTGAATTAAAAAAAATGTTTTGTCCGGAAAATTCGGACTTTATCGATTGTTTAAAGCGATTACGTTAACAAATTAATGAGTCCCAATCAAGTGTATTATGTAATTATATAATAGTGTAATTATTTATAATAATGTTCAAAGTTTTGTGTGTTTAAAACAGAAATGTTTTCTGTTTGGAACACACAAATTTGACGCCGATTGATTACGTTATGTTCAGTACGAGCGTGTAGTTTCGGATAGTTTTTCCTCAACATATATGTTTTCTCTCTCTCTATTATTTTGTCGATGCTCTTAAATCTAAGATTCAATAGAACACGTTTCATTTGTCAACGGAATCGTAACTTTGTGATCAAGTACATGGAACTGATTGAGAGCGCTAAATAACTAATTTATATTGCATATATTTGTTTTGACACGTCCCGCAGAAAAATGAAAAGGCTTGTGTTATTTCCAACAGAAATTGTATTGCAAAGAAATTTTATTGTTTTCTTCTTGAATTTTGCGACGGCTGAAAGTAAGGTTTATCTGAGAGTGTTGACTCTACAGGTCTGTCTAAAAACTATTACAATATCGCAAAACTTTGATCGTTGCCTATCGAAAAGCACTTGCTCCAGGATTTGACTCTCAAAAAGATATAGAAAGATCACCTAGAAAAAAGGTGCAAGGTGCTATCAAAACGAATAATGGTACATTCCTTGTTTAAAATACAAAACTTATTAGAACGAGAGTAACGGTACAATATCCGCGTGCTATCGAAAATTCGTTCACTCATCGAACGAATTTCTCGTACCTNCGAGCAACAAGTCGCGTGAATTTAGAAATTGTGTGACTGCTTTGAATAAGCGGAATAATATTTGCGAAACGGCTGAGTGCGAGCACCTGGTGACAAGTCCGTTGATAAGAAGTCGCGTGACTCAAAATAGTGAATTCTGGATTTTGCAACACACCTGTCTTTTTTGGAAACACATCGTCTTTTATAAAAAATATAAATTTTATATGGTATTTCTCGAAAGTCTTACTTTTTTTCCACTGAAACCGAATAACGAAACTATCCACTCACACACACACAGTTATCACTTGATTTAANTAGTCTTAACGTATGGCACGCGATCATTTCTGAATTATGTATGCATTTTTTTGTAATCGTTTTATTTAGGCACAGTTCATTTCAAGACAAGTCTGGCAGAAATAATAAAGTATGGCAAAGAAGCAAAATGAACAGGTTGAACTAAGAAAAAAAGCTTTGTGCAAAAAACAACACAGGCAATGCTACATCAAATATGCTAACAAATTGATTGAAAAGGAAATATATCTTCGTTTTACATTGTTACTGTTTAATATTTGTACATTAAACATAAAGTGTCTTCCGTTGTTATGTACTTTTGTCGGATGCTTTTGCGTAAAAAAAANCGCTCTTATNGTATACCTTTGATTCGATAGTGTTACTTTGTTTCTGAATACTCAATCTTTCAAATGTGACATAATCGTAATAGCTGAAGAACATANTTGTGCATACTGCATAACACATAAGTATATCCACGACTCAGCACTTTTCAGACTAAGATATAAGAGTAGAATCTTTTNATTGATTCTTTTGTGTTTATGCGTTATGCTAAACTCCGNNTTNTG